CCCTCGGCACTGACCCTCCGACAGTGCGGCGCTCCCTCGGCACTGACTCTCACTTAGGGTGGACCTCCCTGAGCACTGCGTTGTGAGTGGTATAGTTCTAAGGTTGAGTTTCTGGAGTGGGACTGGAATATTCAGCCACTCTCTCAGGCTTGTTTTACTACCCACTGCAGCATGGCTGACAGAGACTCGAGTGACTTCAGGGACACTTGGATGCTGTGCTGAGGGGAGACTTTAGGTTCTTTCCAATGCATTAACTCAATGAGTGAAGATACGTATCGAATGGTCACAATCACATATATGTTTCAGATAGACCTGAACAAAAACGTCAAGCTGCTCATGAAATAATTTATAGCTCTTTCAGTCATACGACCGGGTGATCTCACAGAATTAATTATTCATCCTTGTGTTGTTTTGCACTGCTGGCCCATGATTTTAACTTTGCATCTACACCTCCTAGACACAAAGTGGGGGAATCAGTACAGCTCGAATGAAGATTGAGCTGAGAGGATTTCATGATTGAATTTTTCTCTTCACCTGTTTGTTCACTTTTGGCCAGCAGGATGGGCTGGACACCCAATGAATTATTCATTTTCATATTGGCCTGTGGAGGTTCAGATCTTGATAATTTAACATTCCATGCATAATGTGAAGGCATTCATGCTGCCAGCACACGGAAGCTTTAATTAGTCTATCTGGATCTGCAACACAACCATTATTTAACCTTCAAATAATTGTTTGTCAGTCTGCACATGTCTAATTAGTCTCCTGTTGAGCACCATTGCCAAGAACTACCTTCTTTAAGCAGATCAATTTGATCGTGGCCATAAACATGCTGTATGAATGGTTTCATGATAGGGCACAGGTAGAAGGAGGCCATTGGTTCATTGTGCCCATGCTGGCTCTTTGAAGGTGCAATTTAAGTGGACCCGTCCCTCCCTACTTAGTTTTTCCTCATAGCCTGCAAAAATGTGCCCCTTTGCAAGTTCCTGTTGCATGTGCTTATACTGCCCTCTCATGTAGTGCATTTGTGATATAACCTGTCTGGTTTATGTATGTTTTCAATATCATTTATTTTAAATTTGACTTTTGGATTTTGAGTTTGTAATATATAGATTTTCTGTGTGTCTGAAGTTAATAATTAGCTTGTAATGATTTCTGTAGCCATGGTGATTTCCTTTAAAACAGTTTGTGAGATCCACTTTGGCAATCTAATGAGCTATGGTTTACATTAGGATTTTTTTTAGCGAGATAAAGCATTGTTCTTTAATGTTTGTTTGAATTATCTGGACCGAGTTTCTTTCAAGTTTAAGAGAGAGACAGAGAGAGAGAGATATATTTTTGTTTCCATTTTGTTTTGTTTTAGACTGTTTTGTGTTTCCTTGCACAGAGATGCATTTCTAAAGCAGTGTCTCTTAGAAGAGGAGAATATAGTAAACTATGTTACCCTAGAGTAAAGAGTGATAGTCTCAGATTGAAAGAAGACTTGAAGATGAGTTCATTTAAACTTAGGTTTGTGATAGCTCCAGGAATAAGCTATCAAAGGTTCCAGTATAAGAGTTAAAGTCATAGTTGCCTTAAAATAAAACAAGGAACTGTGGAAACTAGAAATCTGAAATGAAAACAGAAATTGCTGAAGAAACTCAGCCGGTTGGGCAGTATCTATAGAGACAGAAAGAGTTAATGCTTCGAGTCTAGTCATCCTTCTTCAGAATCGTACAATCCTTACAGTGTGGAACCAGGCCATTTCGCCCCATTGAATGTACACTGACCTTCTGAAGAGCAGCCTGCTTAGACCTACCCCATCCCTGTAACCCTGCAATTCCCATGTCTAACCCACCTAGCCTATACATCCCTGAACACTATGGGCAATTTAGCATGGCCAATCCACCTAACCTGCACATCTTTCGACTGTAGGAGGAAACCGGAGCACCCGGAGGAAACCCGTACAGACACTGGGAGAATGTGCTAACTCAACACAGACAGTCGCCCAAGGGTGGAGTTGAACTCGGGTTCCCTGATGCTGTGAGGCAGCAGTGCTAACCACTGAGCCACCATGCCACAGATTTCGGGTGCCTTAGATTAATTATTTGTGGTCACATATCTTGGTGCTCCAGTTGCCAATTTGAACGAAACCTTTTCTGCGCTTGCAGATGAGAAACCAGATGAGAAGTGGATCCTGTTTGATGGACCTGTGGACACACTCTGGATTGAGAGCATGAACTCCGTCATGGATGACAATAAGGTGCTGACACTGATCAACGGAGAGCGGATATCTATGCCAGAACAGGTAAGTGTCCCTATGCCTCTGACGCTTGTCATGTGGCACAAGTACAGAATGCCAAGATTTGGAGTTTCCTGTGTAGGGTATAGGAAACTTGTACAGTGATGTTAAGCACCAATCTGTGACCCTGTTGAATCCAGCAATGAGAATCAGTCTACCTGGTTGAGGTTAATTTAGATGGACAAACAGACAGCGAGCTGACTATTTGGCTCAATGTCCTGGTGCTGAACAGATAAACTCTCAGGAAAGCAAATGTCAGTCAGGATACTTCAACCTGATTGCTATCTGTCAACTCGCATTCACAAACTGTTATGCATGTTTGTGCAAGCATACATATGTGTCTCTGTGTGACTGCACTCATGTGTACTGTTTCTGTGTGCCCTCGTGTGTCCCTATACCTGAATATGTGTAAATGTGCGTGTGTCTCCGTATACATAGAAACACAGAAACTAAACAAGAGGTAGGACATTCAGCCCATCAAGCCTGCTCCACCTTTCAATATATGGTCATAGCCGATGCTCTACCTCAGTGCCACTTCCCACTTTCTCCCCATACCCCATGATGCCTTTAAAATCTGAAAATGTATCTCTCTCTTTCCTGATATATTCAATGATTTGGCCTTCACAGGCTTCTGTGGTAGAGAATTCACCACCCTTTGAGTGAAGAACCTTTTTCTTATCACAGTCCTAAATGGTCCACCCTGTATCATGAGACTGTGTCCGAGTTCTAGACTCCCCAGCCATAGAAAACAGTTCCCTGTATTGAGTCTCTCCAGTCCTGTTAGAATTTTATACGTTTCGAACAGGTCACCCACTCATCCTTCTAAACTGTAGTGAAACCAGGCCCAGTTGATTCAACCTCCTCAAAGGACAGTGCTACCAACTCCAGTATCAGTCTAGTGAATCTCCGCTGCATTACCTCTATGGCAAATATTTCCTTTCTTAAGTGGGGAGACCAAAACTGGATGCATTACTTCAGCCATTGTCTCAAGAAGGCCCTGTATAACTGCATCTGACATATAACTGCAACGGCATATAACATAAGGCGTCTATATTCTGAAATATATCTTCTTGCAATGAAAACCTATATAACTTCCCAATTGCTTGCTGCCTGTTCATCTTCATTGACTGAGTGTGAAGGTACCACTGGCCATAGCTGTGATCTGTCTCAAGTCTTCCCACCTCACCATGACCATCCCCTTGATCACACTCACGCACAGTGTTCTGGGCATTGGATTGCCGGCAAGGTCAGTGTCACCAGTAAAGGAGGGCAGAGCAAGGTATTTCAGCAGGCACCCAGTCATTGACCTGGGAACTGCTGACCTGTGTGTCTCAGAAGGGAGTGCCCTTACCTGGTGGCCCACTGCAGATGATGATAATAAGCCAGCAGAGTTGTTTGACAGCAGATTTTGGCTTTTCTTCCCAGGTTTCGCTGCTCTTTGAGGTGGAGAATCTGGCAGTGGCTTCCCCTGCCACCGTGTCTCGCTGTGGAATGGTTTACAATGACTACTCAGACCTGGGATGGCAACCTTATGTTCAGTCCTGGCTGAACAAACGAGCAAAGGTACCCTTCACAATAGAAGCTTCTGAAGAGCCCTTGTTATCTGTTAGAAGCTGCTCTTTTTTATTGGTATTCTAATGTTTAAGTCCCTTGACATCCAGGGTCTTGGTCGTATCCTTTGTCTTTACGGGAACATGTTTGCCCCATACCCTTGTTGTTTCCTTCTTGAAAATCTTCTGCCACGGTTTTATCTTCGAGTCTCTGTTCCCAGTCTACCCGGGCCCATCGTATCTTATCTTTGTAAAATTAGCCCCCCAGTTTATAACTTTTATTCCCTGCCCATCTGTTTCATAACTATCCTAACTTGAGTTATTGTCACTATCTCCAAATGCTTCCCAACTGATACATCTTCTATTCTTATGCTCCTTACTTTGTGGCACCAGTACTAAACTGGAAATTAATGCCTACCCTTAAAGTGCTGCTTTTCAATTTCTTATGTAACTCTGTAAAGTTTGTTTGCATGGTCTAATTTCTTTCTCTTTCTATAATCCTTCGTTGTTCATCCTCCCCTCACCTCATCGCTCCTCTCAGTGAAGCTGACTGCCAGTAGCATTGTTCTCACCTTGCTACCTCCTCTCAGTGACACTGACTGCCTGTAACATAGCTCTCACCTCACCTGCTCCTCTCAGTGACGTTGACTGCCTGTCACATCATTCTCACCTCACCCACAACTTGTCGTATGTCAGAGAAAATGTTTCAAAGGCTATAGTTTCTGGTTGGGCAAATTTATGTACTCGTTCACACCCTATGAGTGGGTTAATGTCCACCTAACAATGGCAGTCATTGTAAGTCAAGCAAGCAAGCATTATTGAAAACACTCCACTGAATGTAAACAGCAGTTTTTAGAACTGGAGGGAATGAGGGAATGATCTCATTTCACTGAAGAAGCAGCAATTTATTGATATATCAATAAACTGACAGACCAGTTCACCACCTGGGTGCTCCTGCCTTCCAGACACTAGAGAAAGTAGCACAGCCCCTGTTGGTTTCTTACACCCTTGTCCTCTACTCTGTGTGAGCCTCTTTCTGTACTTTGCAAAGATTGACCAAGATTTCTGCACTCAATTTGCAGGATGAACAAGAGCATCTGCAGGAAATGTTTCAGAAAAGTGTTGAGAAGACATTGGCATACAAGAAATTGCACTGCAAAGAGCTGATTCCAATTGCTGAGCACAGTGGAGTGGTTGCCCTGTGTAACCTGTATGAGACCTTGGCTACAGTGGAGAATGGGGTAATTCAGTAGCTGACTAGTACACAACAATAGTCCAGATATGTTGAGTGTGTATCTTTAAGCACAAGCGGCACATTCCAATTTGGAGGGATGTGTATTGTTGCTGCTGTGAGCTAGTGTCAGCTTTGGGTCACTGTGTAGTACTTGTGGTTTTGAAGTGGATGGTTGTTGTTTGATCTCCACTCTAGAAATTTGGTAACAAACACCTTCAGCAACCGTACTAAAGGATGGTCAGCACTGAGAGAGCGCCGCACTGTGGGAGGGTTGATGCTGAGGGAATGCCGCACTGTCGAGGGTCAGTGTTGAAGGAGCGTGCGCTGTCGGAGAGTCGGTGCTGAGGGAGCGCCGCACTGTCGGAGGGTCAGTGCTGAGGGAGCGGGCACTGTCGGAGGGTCAGGGCTGAGGGAGTGGGCACTGTCGGAGGGTCAGGGCTGAGGGAGTGGGCACTGTCGGAGGGTCAGCGCTGAGGGAGTGGGCACTGTCGGAGGGTCAGCGCTGAGGGAGTGGGCACTGTCGGAGGGTCAGCGCTGAGGGAGCGCCGCACTGTCAGAGACTCCTTTTGGCAATTTATTCCGCAGTGAACATGCACTCATTGTATGTGATGCTTCTTCCAGGTAAACCCAGGTGATCCTGATAACTACCTGCACATGATCGGGATGTTCTTTGTATTCAGTCTGATCTGGTCTGTGTGCGCAGCTGTGGATGAGGAAGGAAGGAAAAAGATGGACAACTTCTTGAGAGAGATGGATGGCAGCTTCCCGAGCAAGGTGAGACATTTCCTGGGATGGAATGTGAAATGTAAAGTGTTTGAAATACCTCTGTGCCAGCAGGTTTGCAGAGAGAGAAGCTGATGGAGACTCGTATCAAGAGCATGCAAAGGCATGGATGCGGGTTTGAGCAGCAGTGGAATTGAATTGGAGAGTACAGGGTAATACATTTATACTGGAGAAGCTGGAATTTGCAGGATTATCGGGAAACAGCAAGCAAGTGAGACTATCTGGGTCTTTCAGACAGCTGCCACAGAAGCGATGGTAGAATGCAGATGTAAGAGTCTCTGATTCTGGAAAAGGTTTCTTTTTGGGAACAGGCACTGACACACAAAGAGCCACCATGTCGATTTTACCAATTTAGGTGACTATTCACAACCACACAATAGTTACAGCACAGAAGAAAGCCATTTGACCTGTCACATCTGTGCTGGACCTCTAAAGGAGCCACTCACCTGCCCTCTCCCGGTAGCCTTGCAAATTTTTCTCCTTCCTTTTCAGATAATAATCTAATTGTCTGTTGAATGCTCTAATGAACCTATCTCCACCCCACTCTCAGGGAGTCCATTCCAGCCCGTAACCACTCAATATTTGAAAATGCATTCCCATTTCTCCAGGTAATCAAACTTGCTTCCTGAGCGATAGCTTACTATTCCATGCATTCTTGCTCCAGCTAAGGTGAGCTATATAACTCTGCTAAGATCAGGAATCTACTGTCATGGTCTTTGCGGCCTTGTCCTGTGACAGAATCTTTATCTACTATGCTGAAGAAAGCTCATGTGACTTGTTTAGGGCCTGGGTGCATCTCTGCTGTTTGTACAGTGGCACCTGCAAAGTGTAGGACAGGACTGAGTCAAACTTGGCTTTCTGCAATGTGTAAAATGTGGCCATTAAATGATGAGGGGATAATCATCTACAGAGTAAACCCCATCCCTTGCCAAAAACCCTGCGGAGTGACAAAACGATAATAAAAAAGGTCAGCTTTAAATTTGAAGTGTTGATGAGTCCTTTCTTTTTTACTTTGGGGATTCAAAGTCATGAGTTGAACAGTTCAGGTTCAGCTGCCTTAACCCCAGTGCAAAGGAGGGACCGACTTTGAGAGAGGATGGCTTTAGATTACAGGAGGATTTGAACGGGCTGGTCCATAGCAAATGGAATTCAATCCAGATAAATGTGAGGTGATGCATTTGGGCAGAACAATCAAGGCCAGGGAATACATGATGATAAGTAAGACCCTGGGAAGCACTGAGAACTTGCTGGACCTTTGTGTGCATGTGCATTGGTCCCTTATGGTAGTAGGACAGAAAAATAAAATGATTAAAAGGGCATATGGGATATTTATCCTTATTAGCCAAGGCATAGAGTTTAAGAGCTGGAAGGTTATGCTAGAACTGTATAAAAAGTTGGTTAGGCCAAAACTAGAGTATACGTACAGTTCTAGAATCCACATTATAAGAGTGGTGTGATTTCGCTGGACGGGCTGCAGAGGAGGTCTACCAGGATGTTGCCTTGGCTGGATAGTCTCAGTTATGAAGAAAGATCGGACAGAATGATGTTGATTTCCTTGGAGAAGAGGAAGATGGGGGTGTGGGGAGGGGTGTTCGTGATTGAGAAATATAAAATTATGAAGGGCAGAGATCAAAATAAACAATTCCCCTTGATGGAGAGATCAATGACCAAGGAGTATAGATTTAAAGTAAGAGGCAGGACATTTAGAGGAGATGTGAGGAAAATTAGAGAGATGAATGTCTAGAACTCACTGCCTGTGAGGGTGGTAGAGGCAGAAACCCTCATCACATTGAAGAAGTGTTTGGATATGCAGTTACAATACTAAAGCATGCATCACTATGGGCCAAGAGCTGGCAAATGGGATTAGAATAGTGAGGTGGTTGTTTTTGACTGGCATAGACTTGATGGGCTGAAGGGCTGCAGACCTCTATGACTCTATGAGTGAGAACAATGCAGCTGGCAGCTGAAGCAATCGGGATGAATTAGAGGCAGGCTTGTAGTGTGAGATATTTCAAACTGTCAGCTCAAAGGCAGACCAGCATTGAATTGTGTCCTCCCATGACCCTGTCATGTAGATAAGTGGTTGCTCTCTGAATTATTTCCTGACAAATCTGCTTTTCTTGTCCAGGAAACCGTCTATGAATATTACGTAGACCCAAAAACCAAAGTGTGGACCTCCTTTGAGGAAAAGCTGACAAAGTCATGGCGGTATCCGAACAAGTAAGCAATCATTGCAGCCTGTTCACTCAATACTTCAGTGGTTTTTCAACAAGCAGGTCGAGGATCAAGCATGCATTATGAATGGTTTTGTCCCTATATAATTACTGTGAAGTGCAATCACAATCTTGCTATTGAAATCATTGCCACAGCTATTTTGCACACAGCAAGAACCCACAGACAACAGCAGTGATCTTCTTTGGTCTGGTTGAGAAATGCAAACTGTAAGATCCTCATGATAGTGCTGTAACAATGTCTAGATCATGCATTTTAGTGATATTCATAGAATCCCTACAGTGTGGAAGCAGGCCCATCGAGTCCACACCGACCCTCTGAAGAGTACCCCACTCAGACCCACCCCCCCTACCCTATCCCTGCATTTCCCATCCTAGACACTATGGGTAATTTAACATGGCCAATCCACCTAACTAACATGTCTTTGGACTGTGGGAGGAAACCGGAGCACTTGGAGGAAACCCACGCAGACATGGTGAGAATGCGCAAACTCCACACAGACAGATGCCCGAGGCTGGAATTGAACCTGGTGCTGTGAGGCAGTGGTGAATATTCGCCTCGGGATACCCCTGTTCTTCTTTGGAATGGTGTTAGTGAACTCATTTATATCCATTTGAGGGTCAGAAAGGTCCTTGGTTTAACAGGTGATCCCCTTCAATAGTGCTGCACATACTCAGTGCTGAGAAGGTCAGCCTGGATTTGGAACTCTGGTCTCCAGCGTGAGGCTTTCTCTCCAGGTGTTGTAGAACTATGCAATGATTTGTGCCCCAATAAATTTGAATGGAAAGTGATGCTGAATATCAGTGTTGCTGTGTGATGTTTTGTATTTCTGTTGCAGCATGCCCTTTTATAAAATCATCGTGCCCACAGTGGATACAGTACGGTACAACTTTCTGGTCAGCAACCTGGTGTCCAACCAGTATCCTGTGCTGCTTGTGGGCCCAGTCGGGACTGGGAAGACCTCCGTTGGTCAGAATGCACTCCAGACCCTGGACCCCATAACGTGGTCGATACTGACTGTGAACATGTCTGCTCAGGTACAAAAGCCTGAATGCTAATAAGAAAGAAGCTTCCTTTATAAGCACATGGAGAATATGTTGCCTGCAGTGTGGTTTGTGCAGTCTTGTTAAGTCAATCCTTGCCTGCTTGCAGACAAATTGTGGATGAACCAATGGATACATGCCCTTTGGGTTGGGAAGGCCCATCACATTGATTTCCCAACCAAAACAGCAATTTTTGTTTTTGTTTCTGATTTCCAGCATCTGCAGCTCTTTCACTTTTTAAAAAGTTCTGAGGAAGCATCACTGGACCTGAAATGTTAACTCTGATTTTTTTCTTCACAGATGCTACCTGACCTGCTGAGCTTTTCCAGCAACTTCTGTTTTTGTTCTTCCAGTTTTTACATTGATTTCCCAATTTGGTTAGGTTCTTAGTTATTGGGATTACCCAGATCAGTATTTGATAGACATCAATCAAATTTGATGACCCAAATGGCCTCTTTCTGTGCTGTACTGTTTAATGATTGTGCAGTATGGTGTGGTGGTGCTGGTGTTAGACTGGGATGGACAAAGTGAGAAATCACATGACACCATGTTATAATCCAACAGGTTTATCTGAAATCAGAAACTTTCGGAATGCTGCTCCTTCATCAGGTGAAGTGGATGGAAGTGCACAGGCACAGAATTTTTAGGCAGAGAGATCATTGGAAGATAATTCCAGGTAATTAAGAGTGTAAAAAGATAGTACAAATGGTGTGCGTGGAGTGTTGACAAGCTGAATAACAAGTCTTTGCAGGTAATAAAGAGTGTCAAGTGGTGTGAGTAAAGTGTCAACTTTATTTTGACTTTGTCTCCAGCACCATCTTATTTTTCATTTTTGTAATTATCTCACTGCTTCAATTAACCAGATCATAGGTCATCCCTTCAGTTTCTATTCACATTTCCACTCACACCATTTGTATTATCTTTTGACATTCAATTACCTGGAATTATTTTGCAATGATCTCTCTGCCTGTAAATTCTGTGCCTCTGTGCTTACTTCTACTTCACCTGATGAAGGAGCAGCGCTCTGAAAGCTTGTGATTTCAAATAAACCTGTTGGACTATAACTGGTGGTGTGTGATTTCTGTCAAGGATTGCATGATTCTAGTAATGCTTGTCATTTTAAGGAACTGTATACCCAAAACTTTACATTTCAGAGTATTTCACATACAACACCTGAGATCAAAGCTTGTCGGTCGGAGATAAATTTTCCTCTTCTCATTAGTGGTAAGGGTTCTAGGAAAATGAGCTGGTACCATCTAGTTTCAGCTGGGTATCAGCCCAGAGTAAAAAGCTTCCCTGAGTTTGCCATCTGACGTAGTTGCTGTTACTCATTTAGGAAGTTCACAAGGATAGTGGCAGCAAGCCTGAAGAAAGCATTGTACCACAGTTTCCAGTTTAATGTTGCAATGCATTCTTTAGCTTTTTCAGAAAGGAGCTGCATTCAGCTCCTGTGACAAGGATTATTTTTGCATTGCTGTGCTGGGGTGTTTTTCCTCTGGGATTTGTCCTTCCTAGTAGATGTCTAAGACAAGGTTGTGTTGGGAAAGAGAGAGGTGCAGGGTAGCATTTCTCTGATTACAATGCTCCTGTCATCGTGGAATGAGGCAAGCTCAGTGGACTCATTTGGATGTTTTCTGCCTGTGGTGTTGTGAGCAGTAGGAGTGCTGATTAAAATAGGGAGGGTGTTGCAGTCTCTTGGTCATGTTCCTCACGAGCTCAACACTGATAATCAAAATCTTTAGCTCCATATGAAATACTCCACCAGTTTCTGACTTTCCTCATTCACAGACCACATCTAAAAATGTCCAGGATGTTATTGAGAGCCGTGTGGAGAAGAGAACAAAAGGAATATATGTTCCAGTTGGTGGCAAAAAACTCATCACCTTCATGGATGACCTGAACATGCCAGCCAAAGATACATTTGGCTCCCAGCCACCGTTGGAGCTTCTCCGCCTGTGGATAGACTATGGCTTTTGGTACGATCGAGCCAAACAGACTGTGAAACACATAAAGGTATTAGCAGCTTAGGTTTTAAATTCTGAACAATCTGAAAGATGGCATTTCTGATCCTCAGACAATGCGGTGCTCCCTCATAACTGACCCTCCAATGGCGTGGCGCTCCCTCAGCGCTGACCCTCCGACAGTGTGGTGCTCCAACAGCACAGCCTGGAGGTGTGCTTAGTGGCATTTAACCAATCGTCAGTATCCTGATGGGGTGCACTTTATGCAGTTCTTCAGAAAGTTGTTCCAAAGTGAAACAATACAGAAACATCAGACCTTCCTGTGCATTTTACACAGCATTTTACAACCAGCAAATGTTTGTTCTTCAGGACATGTTTCTAATGGGAGCCATGGGTCCCCCTGGCGGAGGAAGAACAGTCATATCAGCTCGCCTTCAGAGCCGTTTTAATTTGATCAACATGACCTTTCCTGCGGTAGGTGATTGTTTGTTTGTGTTGAGGGGGATGGTGGGGAGCCACTATGATTGCAATCAGCACAAAGACCCTGTGCAGGCAAATATTCAAAAAATAAGGACAGGTAATAACCCTCTGCTTCATCCAGTTTGTGAATTTTAATATGTACACTTCCCTTCATAGACATTATAAATGTTAATTGGATCACCCCATTTTTACATTTCTTTGTAGTATCCCAGCTGGAGTTGCACCTGTCCACGTAACTAGGTTGCTACAATCTGTGATTGAAGCTCACAGATCTTGTTTGCACTCTTTCTGAAACCTGTCACCCATCCTGTAAGAAGATCACAATTGAGCACGTATTCCAACTGAAGCAGGAATAAAGTAGCATCCTTACCCACTTCAGCAATCTCTTCATAACATTACTCATGAAACTCTAGGGCTTGATGTGCTGGAATGTCAAGATCTGTGTCTTTCTCCATCGACTGAAATACTTCTCTCTGAAGATTGCCCACATGGCAAGAGGCACCATGTATACAAGTTACTTGTCATTTGCCAGTTACATACACAGTCCACCAGCGAATCTGGAATTCCTTGGAATATTCAACCATCCTGACTGTCTCACATATTATGGTTTCATCTGCAATAGAAAACACAAGGTGCTGCAGAAACTCAGCAGGCCTTGCAGCATCTGTGGAGAAAGAAACAGAGTTTCAAGTCCGATGTGACTCCTGTTCAGAATCTGCAAACTGAAGGCGTGTATCCCCAGCATCCATATTTAGATCATTGATGAAAATGTAAACAAGTCCCAACGGCAAACGTTCTTGTCATGCTAGACAACAAGGTGCAGGGCTGGATGAACACAGCAGGCCAAGCAGCATCATAGGAGCAGAAAGGCTGACGTTTCGGGCCTAGACCCTTCCAGTTCTGCCCTTAAGATCCTGGCTGTCTTCCAGTCCAGTGCAGCAAATTGCCAACAAAACACTCAACGCTTGAGTATAGACTGGATCAAAAGCTCTTTGGAAATCTATATAGCCCATTCCACTGGGAGACCCTCATCTGCTACATTGACAGTTTCTTCAAAAAATATCAAATAAAAGTACTAAGAAAGAACTTTTCATTTTATTAAAGCAACTTTGATATCAACAGTCATATCAATTAGGACACCCATATTCCTAATGATTCCCTATTTAACAATCTGTACTAATCCGTATTGATTTATAAATGCACCTGATTTGCTTGTTAACTTTCACTGTGTCTTAATGACCTTAGGTAGATTGATGTCAGACCATTTTCTGTCTTTGTAGACATCCCAGATCAAACGTATTTTCAGTACACTGTTAAACCAGAAATTGCAGGATTTCGAGGAGCAAATGAAGCCAATTGGTAACGTGATTACAGATGGCACCATTGAACTTTACAATGCAGTTGTTCAGAAATTCCTGCCAACACCAACAAAGATCCACTATCTCTTCAATCTCAGGGATATTTCCAAGGTACTGCCTCTTTTCGTTCATCTCTCGTTCTCCCTGTCAGACTCTCTGTGTTAATCTCTCATTCTCTCTCCTGTTCTCTCATTCCTGGTCTTCATCTTCTTTTCTGTCATCTACCTCTTATTATGTCTGTTTTAATCTCTCATGTTTCTCCTGTTCCCTCTTGCTGATTTTACTTTTCACTGTTTCCCATGTATCCTATTCCCTACTTGTGAATTTATTTATCTCTCAATCGTTGCCTCCTTTCTCTTCTCTCCTCTGTGGAAATTAATCGTCAAATCCCATTTTCTGGCTATTTTCCCCCTCTCAAGTCAGCTGCCCAATTCTTTTAAGAAAGTTATTAATGAAACCGTTTGAACCTTTGAGGCAGCACATTCAGATCACAACAGCTTTCTATGTTTAATGAAAAACATCTCTGAACCTCATCCTCGGTAATTTTGCCAGTTATTGTACCTCTGTCTCTCAACTACTGAAAGCAGTTCCTAAAGTTCCCCTTTACTTTCTCTGCTCCAGGGAGAACAACGCCAGTTTCTTCCAGCCTTTCCACATCCCTCATCCTTGATTATAATCTAGTAAATGTCCTCTGCACCCTCTCCAAGGCCTTGATATTATCTCTAAGTGCTTTGAAATGCATGGAATACCCCAGCTGGTGACTGAACTATGAATTGTAAGTGTTTAATACCCTTGCTTTTGTATGCTGTCTCTAATATCAAAGCCAAGGGTCCACATAATTCCTTTCAGTCAGCCTTATCAACCATCAAGTATTTATATACAAATATTTATGTCCCTGCTGCAACCCTATTAACTTTAAACATTTAATTTATATCACCTTCTTTAATTCATCTTCAGAAAGCATATCACTTCACAATTATGTATTAAAGAATCACACCTAATTTTGCCACTGTTTTGATTATTTTATAGATTTTCCAAGGGATGCTTCGCATCCACAAGGATTACCACGACTCAAAAACAAGTATCTCACGCCTGTGGGTCCATGAATGTTTCAGGTACCTCCTTTCTTACGTTTGTCTCAAATTTTTCTCTCAACTCCCTGCTGGGGTTTGGTTTCATTGACGCTGAAACCCATGCCCTATCTTCATCTGAGTGCCAGTTCTTCACATACAAATATACTGCCCAAGCTTTATTGGACCAAGAGATCAGCATCACATTCTGTTCTCTCGATTGTGTGCAGCCCAACATTGCCTCTCTCTGTTTATCAATGTATGCTGAGGCCCAGGTTGCTTTTAGTCATTCTCCATGAGCTGGCAGGCTTGAATTAGGTACAGCTAATCATGGATTGTACAGCTCAGTTTTATATCATACCACTTATGTTCATAGAGTCATAGAGCTGTACAGCATGGAAACAGACTCGTTCATGCCAACCAGATATCCTAAATTAATCGGAGATAACAAAGTGTAGAGCTGGATGGACACAGCAGGCCAAGCAGCATCAGAGGAGCAGGAAGGCTGACGTTTCGGGCCTAGACCCTTCTTCA